TTACTGTGGGGCACCATCCCGTGCATTGTCGGATATTGAACTGCGTCCCTGGGCTCTACCCAAAAGATGCCAGGAGCACCCCCTCCCCAAATTGCTCAGTGCCACATCAGGGTGTAGAATGATGCCTGACACTCACTATACATTGAGCACACGAAGGAAAGTGAAAAAAAAAAAGAGGGAATGACCCTCTGCCCTCATGGATAATGGAGCTGTCAGTACACTTTAGCTGTCACCCCAAATACCTGGGTGAAGGAGCGAAGACGCCCAGTTCCTTCTTTATCTTCTCCACCTTGGAGGCCGCGTCCTTCATACTCTCAATTTCCAAGAGAGTCGGCAAGAGAATCTCCAAGGATGACCCCGCAGTGGCCACAGGACTCTGGTCTGGTGCCCTCGCCAGCTCCTCAGATACCCTCTCAGGCTGCTGGGAGACCCTAGCCGCCGTCTTTGAGATGGGGGCCATGGAGACGGGTGACTCGGGTATCTCCTCCCACCTCATTGCGGGCAGAGGGATGGGAGTCTTGGAGGCAGTATTCATCTTTGGGCTGCTGGTGGCACGCTTGGAGCGGGGGGGCACTTTCAAAGGCCCCCTCGGGTCCCGGGGCACCTCCTTCGCCTCGGCCCCTGGACACATGTCCCCCTCCACCTCTGCTTGCGGACCTGTGTTCCCCTTCACCCAGGCCCCCAACAGTGGCTGTTCCCTGGCGACCGCTGGTGTCTCTTCCAGCAAGGACACCTTGGTGGGGCTGAGGGGCAGCGTGCCCATCGTTGGCATGGCAGACGCCTGGGCAGTGGAGAGCCAGGAGGGTAGACTGACCAGAGCTGGGTTCAAGGGGTGCTCCTTGGAGCCAGCAATGATCATCAGCTTGGCAAGGGCGAGCCCTTCCGCAGAGAAGGGCCTGGCCTGCCCCTGAGGGGCTTCCTCAATGGCCAGCTCCTGGGTCTTGACCCACTTCTTCTGCTGCCCCACTTCCCGGGATCTGAAGCCGGGCATGTCCGCAGAGATTGCCTCCTTCATCGTGTGGACCTTGTCTTCCAACTTGCCCTTGCCCTTCAAGCCATCCACGGAGATCTCCTGGGCTCTGCTGATCAGGACTTCCTCCGACTCCTTCTCGGTGGTAGTGAAGGGCAGTCCCAGGGATGTCTTCTGAGTCCTCATTTCCACCACGTCCGCCTCCTGGGCGCCCATCAACACCACCAGCTCTGGCTTCCCTTCAGGCTTGCTTTTCTCAAGCACATCCCCTCCATGACTTCCCATGGGCAGCATGCCAATGTTGGCAGGCCCCAGTGTCATCCGGTGCTGGGCAGGTGAGGTCAGAGCCTTCTGGGATGGGGTTGGTAGGAATAGAGATTTCCTCTTTGGGGCAGGGGGGGACACAGCCTTCAAGGGAATAGCACGTGCATGTGGGACCTTCCGAGGTGGGGCCGGCACCGCTGGGGCCTTGTGGGGAATAGATCCATGAGGGGCCTTCCGAGGTGGGGCGGGCACGGCTGGGGCTTTGTGGGGAATGGTAGGTCCATGCGGGGCCTTCCGAGATGGGCCAGGTATGGCCGGGGCCTTCTGGGGAGCAGCGGGGTGAGTTGCAGCTTTCCTGGATGGAGCAGGCACAGCTGAGACTTTCTGGGTCTGGTCAAGGATGAATGGAGCCTTGTAAGAGGTGGCAGGGACAGCTGGGGCCTTCTGGGAGGGTGGTGGCCACAGCTTCTGTACAGAGTCTGGAGTCCTGGCTTCCTCATTGTACCTGGGGAAGGAGGGCTTGGGGGCAGAGAGGTGTAAGTCGGTCGGGTGGGTGGTCCTGCAGAGGGAGGAGGTGGACAAGGTGCTGGACTCAGGGTCCATCAGGTCTTCCATGTCCTGCTGCCACAGGTACATATCCAGGTGATCACAGGAGCCCAGCAAGCGCATTTTAGGGCTGTCCACTGAGACACAGCGTGAAGGGGTCTCAATCAAACCTGCCAGGCATGTGGCCACCTCAGAATTAGAGCAACCCTGTAGGTGGATGGAGGGGCAGGGAAGGATGGTCAGTGCCCAAAGAGATGCCCAGACCCAGGACCCAGCCCCCTTCTCCCTCAGACCCAGAGGTCCAGACCCTCAACCCCTCCTCCCTCAGACCCAGCAGTCCAAGCACACCAGCCCCTCCTCCCTCAGATTCAAGTTGGCCCCAGCCCCAGTATATAGCTGCCTTGGAAGGGGACTCCATGTGGTTGGCTGTGTTGGAAATGATGCTGAAGATAGTCCGAATGGTGATGCTGGGCTTCTCTGGGTGGGGAGAAAGCAGTCTGAGCCCTGGACAGAAGGGCTGGAACTTCAGGGGTCCAGGCACAGAGGCAGAGGTAGGGGTGTGCTCACCGGACACTTGGACTTGGGCCTGCGGTCTGTCAAGGCAGAGGTCCATTTGGGGCCTGTAGGGGTGATTTGGTGTGACTTTGGCAGCATCTGAGCTGGGCCGGGAGAGGCCCCCACCCCTCTCCCCACGCCCGCACAGTGACAAGATTCAAGCCTACTTCTTTTCTGTGGATTTCTTTCTTGTGGTAGAATGGTCCAACTGCGACCAGACAAGAGGCATGGAGTCACCCACTGCCTGAGACTTGAATTTGCGCTTGAGGGTCTGGCAGAGAGAGGCAGGTGGGAGAGAGGGCAGTCAGGAGGCGCAGCGCCTAGGCCCCCCACCCCACCAGGCCGGCCGGGGCCTGCTCACCTTGGCCTTCTTCTGTCTCTGAGTTGTCAGCGTCTTGTAAGGAAAGGTGGGCTGGACACTCGTGACTGGAAAGAGACGGGGAGACTTCACATCAAGGACCTCAACAGGGATGACCCGGAGAGAGGCCCAGAGGAGGCTCCTGAGTGCTCAGCCAGGGAGAGGGGGCAAGAGCTGGACTGCAGAAGCTCTGTCCATGCCTGGTGGGGGCGGGGCTAAGACTCAGGGGAGGGCCTGATGGACACCCAAACCTGCTCACCTGATCTTCTGTGGTGGGACTGTTTCTGTGGACAGAGAAGGGGGCAGTCAGGAGGGGCGAGATCTTCTGATTCCCACATCTCCGTTATCTACCCAGCCCGGGACTCCAGACCCCCAGCCTCTCCTCCCTCAGACCCACGGGTCCTGCCCCCTTGGCCCCATTCCTGGCGATCCTGGACTTTGGGCTTTTGGTCCTGGCTCCCTCTGGAATCTAGAGCTATGAACTGCCCCGAGGGGTCTGTGGGGTCAGGGCCCCACCTGGAGGCGCCAGGTGGAGGCAGGAGGTGCCATGTTGGCCAGGTCCATGGGGGGCACATGCAGGGTCCTGGGGGCCCAGAAGGTGGCGGGCTGCTGGAGCAGGTTGATGAGGTGGATCCAGCGGTCGAACAGAAAGCCAACCTCATTGTCAGGGGCATCCAGCTCAAGGTAGTAGTAGCGGCCTGTGACCAGGCGCAGCTTCAGGCGCCAGGCAGTCAGGTCGTGGACGTAGAGGTGGACCAGGTCCAGCGGGATCATCCTGGCAGAGGCAGGAGATGGAGGCGGTAGAGCAGGAGATGGGGGCAAGGTGGCAGGGGATGGGGAGATGGAGGCACCTGGTGAGGACGAGGTTGGAGCATTCCCTGCCCTCTGGTGGCTGGGCCATCAGCAGGATGTCTGGCAACACCAGGCCTGGCAGGGAGGCAGCCACACCCATGGTCACTCGGTTAGTTCTGTGGTGCACGAACACGGGGGCCCCTCGGCTGGTCACCTGGGGGTCCAGGGAGAGGGGCTGGGACCGCTCCTTTATGCTCCTCTGGTACCCCCACACCGAACCCCCCACCACAGAGCCCCCCCAGCTGCCTCGTGCCCACCCAGGCCCACATTCCCCAGCCCGGAGGGTCTTGCTGCCCTCCTGCCCCTCTCTGCCCCCCGGGCGCAGGGAGCCGGGGACCTGGACAAAGTTACTCTCAAACATGGGCAGCGGGCGGAGGGGCAAGTATTCGCCCTTCTGAAGGGTCTTCTGCAGCTCGCCCAGAGTGGGGACCCACTTCAGGGGGCCCTGGAGTGGCTCCAAACGCCTGATGTTCCGGAGCCGGTTCATGGCGGCTGCAAAAAGGGTGGGTCACCCGGGGCCAGAGTAAGGGACCTGACATCCTGGTCCATGACCCCCCGGCCCCCCATCTCCCAGGCCCCAGCCCTGTGGGCTTCATGGGTACCGGGAACTCAGCGGTTCCAGAGGATGGAGCTTCCCCAGGGCTTGGACATGGCCCTGCAGGGGTGGTCAGCCCTGGACTGGGGGAGGAGCCCTCGGTGTTGGGGCTTTGTGACCTCATTGGTCAGATTCTTCCTGGGAACTCTCCTGGGGCCATGGGCTCCCTTCTCCTGCAGGAATGTATCCTGGAGTCTTGGGGCTGGGGTGGATGAATCAGAAGCCCCTACTCCAGACCCAAATTAATGGCAACCCAGGGCCCTGGGAGGGTCCATCAGGGATATTGTAAATGGATAATTAAACAAAAGGATTTTGTGTCTTAAGAGAGGAGAACTGAATTACAGTTTCAACTTGCCACTGACCCTTCTCTAGACCCTGGCTAAGGCCCATACCCCCACAGGGCCTCAGTTTTCCTGTATCTAACTTGTCTGTGTCTGCGGCTCTACATTGGTTATAAAGAAAGGGACATGAGTTTGGAATGAAGCAGACCTCTGGCAGAATCAAATTCTGTGTCTCCCTAGCTCTGTGTGACCGTAAACAACACACATTTCTCCAGGAGCCTCAGTTTCCCTCATCTGTAAAATATGGGGTATTGGAGGATACAGGGGGTCCTGTAAGTACTTAGAGCATGGCCCAGAGCAGGCGTTCAATGAATGGTCACTCTTGTCCCCTTCTGAGGGCTTTTGGGGTGGAGGAGGGGGGCTGATATTCTGTCATTCTAAATATAGTGTTTATTATTTTTTAAAATGTGTCATGCAAAATACATGGTCATTGTAAAAATTCTGGAAAATACAGAGAAGCACAAATAATGAAAGTCACCCACCATCCCACCCGCATCTTCTACCCTGAAGTGGCCGTTGTCAACGTTTTGGTGTATTTCCTTCTAGGATTTTTAAATGGCCTATAAAAGGGGGATCACACAGTGGTTAGCAGCTGGCTCCTTCTGTTCTAAAGTGGCCTCTGTAGCATCCCTCTTCGTGGCTGGTGTATTCTATCACACGGATGCCCTGTCATGTATATAACCATCCCGCACTGTTGGACATGTAGGTTGTTTCCAGTTCGCTGCTGTGAACACTGCCAAAATGAACAAATTTGAGCTTGCAGTTTTGCCCTGTACTAGTACTGTTGGTCACGGGGAACCTTCTGGAACCTCCATTAAATATTTATTGAGTGCCTAAGAAGTGCTGGCTACCAGGTGAGGCTCAGTCCCTGCCCCTCAGAGCTCATCCTCTCTGGGGGACTGACAGTACCCCCTCTGCTGCCCTGCCCACTCAGGGCCCCCCAGGGACCCCAGCATCCAGCCCCTGGCCCCCAGAGAAATCATCTCTAAGTGGATGTGTATGACAAATTTAATTCCCCCTTCTTCATCTCATAAAGGTTTCTCACATTTTTGTACAAAAACCCAGGCCTCCTTTCCCCCTCCCTCCCCACCCCAACACAAAAAGTAATTGCTTAATAAATAATACATGCTCCTGCCCAGGCCCAGAGGGGTGGGTCTCATGGAGACACTGTGGCCAGACTCCTTAGAGATCCAAAATCCAGGACCCCAGTTCCCTCCTCTTCAGAGACCCCCGAGTCCACCTGCCTCCCACCCACCCCCTTAAATAAATAAGTATAAATAAGGCACAGATCCACCCCACTCCCACCCAGGTCTCCTGGATGGATCATCTCTGACTACAGGGAGACAGTGGGGTGGGGGGTCCTCTGGCTGCAATGCCCCCAGTCCCAAAATAAATAAATAAATAAGATCTGGCTTTGAAGGATGCTGGTGGCTCTGGGTGGAGGGTCACAGCCGAGTTTTCAGCAGCAGCAAGCCCCGGACAGCCCAGTCGAGGGTCAGGTGCAGGCCCCCAAGGATGGCATGGGCCGCCCGGATGCCTCCCCAGGCTGAGGACGGTGGGGCCAAGGGAGGTGCCGGTGGGTCTGGGGGCACCTGGGGCAGGGCCAGGCGGGACATCTGTTGGGAGAGGACGGAGGGTTAGCAACAGTCTGGGGTGCAGCGAGGGTTGGGGAAGGGGGTGGTTGGGGCCTATACTGAATCAAGTAGGGGGGTGTTCAGGTTGCATATTTCCACAGCATCTCTGGCCTGTGAGGTGGGGTGTCATCTGGGTAGGGAGTTCTTCAGGATGTTGAATTCAGCAAATTGAGGCTGGGGTGAAAAGGTGGTGGTCTTAAGGCTGGGATTCCAGGGCCATGTTCATGGGGCTTGGGGTGAGGTCTGTAGAGTAAGGGCTAGGATCCTGGAGCTAGGTGAGGGCTGAGGGTTGAAGTCTGTGGTCAGGCCCAGGATCTCAGGGCTGAGGTCTTAGATGTGGGGTCTCTAGGCTTAAGCTCAGGGACTTGTGGGTGAGAGCCAGTCTCTCAGGTCTGGAGCCTCAGAGCTGAGAGTTGGAATTTGAGTTCTAGGGCCTTTGGGGTCAGGTCCAGCAACTGCAGTCTGAAGTCTTACAATCTCAGCGTCTTGGTTCTGGGGCTTTGAAAGTCAGCATCTTGGAGTCTTAAGGACTTACAACCTAGATCTGAGGTCTTGGGGATTCAGGGCTCAGGGTCTGGGGTCTTCCAGTTTGAGATCTCAGGGTCTAGGTCCTTGAGGTCTGGGGTTTGCAGAGTTAGGGTCTCTAGGCTGGCTTTGAGTTGGGGTCCATCATCTTAGGGTCTAGAGCCTTGAAGTGTCAGGATCTCAGGGTCAGGAGGTGAGGGGTCTTAAGGTCTGGAGGTTCAGAGTGTCCAAGTCTCAGGGTCTAGAATCCTCTTGTCTTTGGGCCAGTGTCTCCAAGTCTTGGGGTCAGGGTTTGGACTCTCAAATCTTAGGGTTTTAGGGTAGGAGTTTTGGAATCACGAGATCATGGGGTTTCTGAGTCTCACGTGAAAATTTAGAGTTTCAGGGCAGGATTTTGGAGTTCAGTGCCTCAGGGACAGAGTGAGGATCTCAGAGCAGGTCTGGGATCTGGAGTCTTGGGGTCTTGGGTCTCAGGGCCAGGTCATCATACCAGGAGCTGCAGCCGGCGCAGCAGCCTGTCCAGCCGGGCCTGCAGAGCACCCAGTTCGGGCTCCAGGGTCCGCAGGGAAGGGCCTCCTGCCTTGCGCAGCCACTGCACGTGCCTCAAGTAGGAGAACAGGTCTGCCCGCAGCCGTGTCAGCACTCCTGGGAGCTGGGGGACATGCGGGGGCGTCAAGGAGCACTTGGCAATGCCCACTCCGGTCCCCAATTTCCTGCACCCCCTTCACTGCCCAGCTCCCACCTTTGCCCCATCCCTCTCCCCTGCACTTACCTGCAGGGCTCCCAGCGCCCCTGCACTCATGGCCAAGGTGGGGAGGGAATCCAGGTTGTGGTCTCCGTCAGCTGGAAATTTGTCTCTCTGGGGGGAAAGAAGCCATGAGAGGGACCTCGCTCAGCTCCAGGAGTCCCTCCATCCTCCACCACAGGCCACACACACACACACACACACACACATGCGCTCACACCCCGGCTCTGCCACCAGCAGGGTAGCCTAGAAGCCCTCCTGACTCTGGGTCTTGGCCCCAGCGCGTCCCCTCCAGTCTCTCCTACCAGCTGTGTGGCCAGCTGCCGGGTGTCCGCCAGGAGAGAGCGCGTCAGGAGGACGGCGCTGTCCAGCTCAGCCCGAGGGTCTGGGGAGGCCCGCGGGGGGCCAGGAGGTGGCCCTGGGGCAGTAGCTCTATCTGGCCACAGGCTCAGTGCGACCAGGACCAGGCAGCAAACACCTGGGGGCAGGAGAAGAAAGAAGGCTCAAGCCGGACTGGTGGGTCTGAGGGAGGAGGGGCTGGGGTGGGGGTCCTGAGTCCCAGGGAGGAGCGCCCAGGGCACTTCGCAGGGCCTGGGCGGGTTTCCCTCTCTCTCTCCGGCTCTGGCTGCCCCGCCCGTCGGAGCAGACGCGGCCCTGGGCGGGTAGACGGGCCGGGCGTCTCCCGTCCGCCCCCGGACGCCGGAATCTGGGCCCCGGGGCGGGGCAAGAGGGGGGAGACACAGGCCAGAACCTGCCCCCTCCCCGGGCTCAGGAGCCCGAGCCGGACTGAGAGCACGCGAAGGAGACCGGGACAGAGGCCTGGAGGCCCTGACCCCTCCCCGGGACACCCCCGCATAGGCCCGCCAGAGTGGACCGCGGAAGGCCGGGCCGCAGTGCCGGGGATGCCCCGCAGCACACCTGGGCGGAGAGAGG